GTTTTTTATTGTTTTAATATTTCTGTGTGTGGTAAGGTACAAAATCAGAATCAGAAATTATTCACTGAAAAAAAATATACTGGCAGATTACTGCTAAATATTATGAGATTTAACTCAATTTCTATCATGTAGCAATATATTTGTTCAGAGACCTACGCATATACAGACTATCTGCCAATAAGGAAAGTATTAACATTTCTTCTTTTCTATGTGATAGGTACATATTTAATTTTGAAATTTTTCATAGAAAAATAAAATGTTGGAGAGAAAATGAAGTAGAATGTTGTGTAGGGTATGGGAGAATGCATTCACAAAACACAAACCTGTGTTCAATTGGAAGCCTAGTGAGGTGAACATGGTTTTAATTTGCTGACTTTCCCCTCTTCTGAGTCTGAATGGTGCTTCTGACCTTCTGCCACCTTCATTGTACCAAGAACCACCCGTGGATGTAGAGAATGATCAATACTCACTCTTTACTTGACTTGTTGCCCACCTAGAGAAAATGTTCCTTATCTGAGAAAGTCCCTCTTCAGATGTAGAGACAAACATCTCTAACAACCATATTTACTGAACTTGGTGTGTTATTATTTTTCCTACACGCCTACATCTTCTGTCTTAAGAGGGGAATGGATTTCTCTTTTTCCCTAAGGTGATTTTCATCCTTGTTCTATCCTTTCTTTCATCTCTTCCTAATGCCTATGAGACCTTGCTCTGATCTCTGGGCTTTAGTTTTTGTTGACTTTCATCCTTCAAAATTAGTATATATACCATCTGTCTAAGATACACACACACACACACACACACACACACACACACACACACACACACACTTGCCACCATCATATTAATAACTAACTTCTCTTTCTATCACCTACCCAGCACCCAGTATATACTGACATACTTCTCCCTGACAGCTAGATTTCAGTTAGCTACTCTCTCCATAGGCCAGGACCATTTCCCTGGCACTCATTTATTTTTCCCATTCATTTATGAAGTAATGCTCACTAAGGTCAGAAAAAAAGTAATTTGATAGCCAAATCTAGTTTTCTATTTATTTTGTTCATCTCTCTCTTTCTCTCACTTCTGCAACTTTTAAAAGACATATCCAGGACACTCTGTGATGGAGAGAATACTAATGGCCCCCATAGGATCATCTATTCGAATGCTTAGTCATCAGGAGTGGCACTACTTGAGAAAGATTAGGAGGCCTTGTTGGAGAAGGTATGTCATTGGGGTGAAGTTTCAGGTTTCAAAAGCCCAAGCCAAACTCATTGACCCTCTCTCTTCCTGTTGCTTGCAGATGTGGATATAGAACCCTCAGCTACTTCTCCAGCACCATGTATGTCTGTATGCCATCATGCTGCCAGCCATGGCAATAATGGACTGAACTCCCAAAACTGTAAGCCAGCTCCAATTAAATGCTTTCTTCTATATGAGTTGCCATAGTCATGGTGTCTTTTCATAGCAATAGAACACTGATGAAGACACTCCCCATCCCTCATGTTTTCACATTTTTTCCTAGTAGCATCCAAAGACACAAATTCAGTCTTACTACTGATTGTGACCACGGAAATCTAGAAGTGCAGGTCTCTTAAGGAAGAATTGGTCACTTTATTGGCTTTACTGGACCTTTTACTGCCAGTTTAGAGGCTGCAGTAGTTCTATTAATATAGGATCTTCCCTTTGTCTGGAAGCTCAGTTTCCCTTCTTTATGTTCAGCCCTTTATGTGGTACGATTTTCTGTCTTTTCTATCTTGTCCGATGACATAATCTAGTTCCTTATATGTGGGATATTTCCTCAGCTTTGACTGGAATTCCTTCCATTCTCTTATATAATTGCATTTGTCATGCATTCCAAGATCCTCAGTAGATGCTTGAACTCACACACAGCAAAGAATTATATTTTGTCCTATTTCTACAACCAATGAGGTAAAGTTTAATTTATAAACTTGGTATAATAAGAGATTACCAACAACCATTAATCATAAAGTAGAGTAATGAAAGCAATATAATTAGTAATAACATAAGACAATTGTATGGTCCAGAGAGCAAGCTGTGATAAATGGATTTTCAGTGTTGAATGAGTGAGTTTATTAAACATATAAATAAAAATAAAATAAAACACAATAGTTAGGGGGCAAAATATCATCAAATGAAAGGTCAAGACACTAAACAGAAAAAGGCTGGGGAAACCACTTTGGGGCAGTCATATGAAGTTTCCATTACAGAGTCCTGGGCAGAGCAAAACTTCACAAAGGTTTCCAAATAAAGAACAAATAGCACCAGTTAGAGAAAACTTCATCATACCGGATGTTTAGAACACCCAGGAGAAATCAACCCAGGAAGTTAAGGCAGCTAACGTTCTCTCTGTGGCTGAACGTCTGGCTTCTCTTCCATAAAATCTGTTGGAAATACTTGACCTAGTTGTTCTTAAGAACACAACATTTTTATTCTTGGGCTGTTTTGTCCTCCCTGTCACTGAGTTGGGGTGGGGAGACTAGATACACCCAGACAAGGGACCAGGGGGGATACTTTGAGACAAACATTCTGGGGTGGCAGGAGGACAGCCCCACTTTCAGAGCCAGCCTAGCAGGGAGTTCAAACAATGTGTGACACTTCACAAATGTAATATATGATACAGCCACTAAGAGTCGATGTGAGAGCAGTCTCTCTGTCAAGACTCTCTGCGATTATGCAGAACCCACTGTTTTCTTTGTGTTGGTGTTGAAATCACAGAAAGAAGGCAGGAAGGGTACACTGGCCTAGCTTGTCCCTTAGACTGTGAACTGCTTAGGGAAACAAAAGAAGAGGGTTTGGCTTTCATGAAGTTTCCTGTATCTAAAATATCTCTGGCTGAGATCTCAAGGCAGTAGGAGAAACACTGCTGAGGCTTGTGGGAAAAAGGAAACTGAAAGTGTGTGTTTGGGGAAGCCTTGAGATGTAATTGTTGTGCTCCCTATCAATAGGGCTCCGGACTCAGCTACACAGCCAAGGCTAGCAAAGTTTCTAAGTGAAAGGAACCAGTCATACTTTCCACTTTCCATCTCTCAAGACCTGATTCTCATGTCCTACACTACTGGTGAAAAGGTTTGTGAGGGGAAGCTTTAAACTATTAGGACATACTCTAATTCTTGAGTTGAAAACTGAGGCTGCTGTGGAGAGAGAATCCAGTGAAGTAAGCCTTGTTAGAAGTTTTCTAGAAAAAGCTTTAGGACCTTTTTGTTAATCAGCAATTTAAGAGGACATGGGAGTTGTAGGTTTCTGGGGTTGGAATCTGGCACTAGGAAAATGTCCAGAGATATACTAGGATGACCCCAACTAAAAAGTGAAGCAATAGAGCAGGGGCTATCTTAAATGCCCTTCTGCTATAATGATATTGATGACTACTTTATATGCTATCATAGAGCCTAGAGCCTTCATCTAGTAGCAAATGGAAGCAGAAGCAGAGATCTACAGCTAAGCACTGAGCCAAATTCCTGGACTGAGCCCAGCTGTTGAGAGGGTGAAGTGATGAACAAAGAGGTTAAGTCCAGGCTGGAGAAACCCACAAGGACAGCTGACCTGAACAAGGGGGAGCTCATGGACCTCAGATTGACAGCTTGGAAACCAGAAAAGGATGAAACCAGGTCCCTCTGCATGTGGGTGACAGTTAGAAGGCCTGGGCAGTCTATGGGGCCCCTGGTAATGGAACAGCATTTATACCTAGTGTACAAATGGACATTGGGAGCCCACTCCCCATAGAGGGATACTCTCTCAGCCTAGACACATGAGTGAGGGCCTAGGCCCTGCCCCAAATGGTGTGACAGACTTTGATGATCCCTCATAGAAGGGCACCCTTTCTATGGAGCAGAAGAGGGATGGAATGGAGATTGGTGGGGGACATGGGAAAATGGGAGGTAGAGGGAACTGGGATTGATATATAAAATGAGATTGTTTCTAATTTAAATAAATAAATAAATAAATAAATAAATAAATAAATAAATAAATAAGAGGGATCAGTATTGACTATACTCCAGAAAAGAATAAAGCTGCAGGAAGCCTGGTTCTAAACCTTCACTTGACTGAGGAATAGAAGTTATTTTTTTATTTCACCACAATTGAGCCTTTAACAAAAGAACATGCATTTGGCTGTGGCAGGAATTAGAATATATTGTTCATAGGGTTGGCCCAGACTGAGCCTAAAAGGAACTTTGATTTTCTGGGTGCACTGGTCTGTAGGTGTCTTCCTGACGTGAATTTAATTTATATTTGGAAGAAGGCTTTTGATTTCTAGCTGAAGGAGCAAGAAACATAGGGGCTGGAGAGCTATTTCTAGATAAAAGATAGTAACAATGGTGTGACAGAATGCATATGATATAACATTACCTTGAAAGTTCCAAACTCTACTATAAGTAACCTTACCATTTAAGAAATGCCAAGTGTAGCCGGGTGACATTTAGTCCCAGCACGTGTAAAGCAGAGGCAGGCAGATCTCTGTGAGTCTGATGCCAGCCTGATCTACATAGTAAGTTCCAAGACAGGCTCCAAAGCTACACAAAAGAACCCTGTCCCAAAAAAAAACAAACCAAACAAACAAAACAAAAACAAAACAAAAAAGAAAAAAGAAATGCCAACCAGATAATATTTCATGTTGTAATCTCAGATGTCTAAGTGGCATGGCATTATTTTTTAAAAATTATGTATGCTTTTTAATCTCTATTTCTTTTAGCTTATTAGGTATTAGAAAAAATATTTCAGTTCACTTAAAAGTGGATCATACTTTTCCTTTTCATACTTAAATTCCTAGAATTGAGGAAAATGATGATTCATATGATAACTATTGTGGTTTGAATATAAACCAGCTGGTGGTTCGGTTCAGAAGGTTCTGGGGCTTTTAGGAGGTGGAACTTACTAAAGAAATCTTATTGGATGAAAGTGTATCACTGGGGACAGACTGTGAGAGGTGATAGGCTGTCTCACTTCTTCCTCTGTTTTCCGTATGAGCAAGAACTGAAACCGGCCATCTTCCTGCCCTGCTTGGCGACCATCGGTCATGCCTTCCCTATCGGCTACTACATTTTCCCTGTGGTGTTGAAATCCACATTCCTGGAACAGTAAGTAAAAATAAACCCACTCCTTCCCTATGTTGCTTTTGGCCATCACATTTTATTACAACAGAAAAGAAACAGTTCACTGATAACCTTTATAGACTTATTGAAAATGTGCTAAGCACTTCTAAGTATTTATCAGGACATTACCTTGTTCTACTTTTCTACAGTTTTTGGCTATGCGAAACTTTAGTTATTGGAGGAAGTATTTTGTGATTTCTGACTATCAGAGTAGGTTTGTCATTTGTGGAGAACTGTCAAGTTTTACTTAGAGCTGTTGACTTTATTCAATGAGGTGCATATGTGCTTAGAATTTTTATGTCACCTTGGTGACTTTAACATTTAATCATTGTACAGCAGCTCTGTTCTTAATGACACTATTTGTCTTACAGTCTTCTCTGACAAATATTAATATAACTGGTCTAACTGGCTTTTTTGTGCTTAGTGTCTGGCTGATACATATGCTCACATCCTTTGTTTATCTGTTATTCAGTATTGTAATACCCTCAGTGTGTCTTTTGTAAACACCATAGGGCCTACAGTGGGTTTTAATCCAGCTAACATTCTTTTTAAAGCTGGGAGTCTAATTTATGTGTATTCTTTCAGTTCAAATGTTTGAATTTTTGTGTAACCATCTTTCCTATGATATTTCCTATCCATGTTTGCTTTCTTCTTCTTAAAAAATATGCTGGAAAGTATTTATGCAGTGATGTATATTATGTTAGTCATGTTTTCATAAATCCCATGTTATAAATTTTGTGGGGACAAGTCACTTTTCATTAGTCAAAAATAATGATTTTTTGATGTAGTTTTTGGAGAAGTCATGTAAGATCAAGTTTACCGCTTCAGTGAAGTGAACCTTAGTTAAAGTGAACAATCCAGGCCCCTACATAGATAATATTGTGTACTTTGCCCTGAATCTTGAAACACTGCTTCTATTTATCCTCACAATTCACATGCTGCTTAGATGTTACCTTCTCAAAGAGACATAATCTGACTACCTAATTTGAGTCTTACCACATACTCACAACCCACATCCTCATTGCATACTATGTACTATATATACTTACATTTTGAGGAATAATAAGGAAGAAATCTTACCTGATTTGTGACTCATTTCCTCAAAGACTTGCAAGATGCCTGAATGGGCAGAATGAGCTGACGTGTGAACAACTGTTTGATTTACTAGTTTATTTCTTAAGTGTCTACCTTTTGTATTTATTTTAAAGGAATTTTAGATGAGTTTTGCACCATAGAGGTTGGCTATTTAATCACAGACAAGTTTCCAAGGAAATTAGAGCAGAGTGAAGGTCCTTAGGGATACTCCCAGGAAGCAACTGTGTGTTCTGGGGGTTGGGGGGAAGTGAGGACTATCCTGCTGCTGTGTTTCCCAGGGGAGGGCATATTGGCACAGGCATGGTAGTGTGTGGTTTACAGAGCTCTCTCTGTCCTGCTACTTATTATATCCTCACAACAGCATCTCCTATTATCTATATTTAACTGATGGGGAACAACAGATCAGGCAGGGCAGTGGCAGAGCACATTACTCTCCTGGCTTGGTACCACATCTTTTTTTTTTTTTTTTCACTAGAGTACTTTTCTAAGTTAAATCTGGACACCCACCTGTTAGCTGTAGCTTTTGGAGAGTCCTAAGAAGGTGTTCAAGCAACAGCAAGCAGTGATATGGAACAGCTCACTGTGAGGACAAGGCTCCGGGCATCTGCTGTCCAGAATCTAATGGAAAGGAATAGACATTTGCTGTAAGACTTTCCTAAGAAGGAGAAAAATTCTGACATTTAAGTCCCTTGCAGTTTCTTGCTCTCCCCATAGCATGATAAATATAAACTTCAAATTATAATAATAGCATATGTTGAGCACACCAGGTGTCAGGGATGCTTCATGGATTGCGTGTTTGTGTAATTCAGTCACATCTCACATGGAGTCTATGCAGTAGGCACTATCAGGAAGGTCTTTATTAAAGAACTAGAAAACATCTTTTATCCCATCTCAGAGCTAGAAAGGAAAGGACATGGAATTCTAACCCAAATATTCTCTGTATCAGTAAAGTAGAGAACAATAGAAATATAAACAAGCACATACATTTGAATTTTCTAGTAGCTACATTAAAAACAAAAACAAATAACATCAACTCATTATGTTTGATTAAAGTCAAAAGTATCCAAAATGCATACTACATCTTCAGAACTGTGGTGTGTATTTTGTTCTCAGAGTTTATCAGTTCTGAAGACAAATTTTCATCTATATTTGTTTATATTTATATATACTTAAAATTCACAAAATTTACAGTTGAAAAAGCAGGCTTATATATTCAAGTAATTTTAATCATACTGATTTTCTAGAAACTGAATTTGGTTTATGTTTTTAATTAAAATTAAATGCAATATAAAATTCAGTCCCCTCAGCTGCACATTTAAAATGTTTGAGAACCATGTGTAGCTGCTATAGGCAGGGTACTCTGGATTCAAGGCTGTTTTCTATCTGTTTATTAATTAGTTGATTGCTTTCTGAAGTGCATTGTATGATATGTGTATTCTTTTGTGGTATGTGTATGTGTGTGTGTGTGTGTGTGTGTGTGTGTGTGTGAGACAGACAGAGAGAGAGAGAGAGAGAGAGAGAGAGAGAGAGAGAGAGAGAGAGAGAGAGAGAGAGAACCCCAGAGGTCAAGGTTGATTATCTTTCATAATTGCTTTCCTTCTTATTTTTTGAGGCAGGATCTCTTCTGAACCTGGAGCTCAATGATTTGGTTAGTAATGCTAGCCAGAGAACTTCAGGGATCTATGCATCTCTGCCTTCCCAGTTCTGAAACTGCAATGTGTTACCCATTCCCAGATTTTGACTTGGGTGCTGGGGATCCAAACTCATCTCCCCACACTTGAATGCCAGGCAGATTACTGACAAAGCCACCTTCCTCAGCCCCTATAACTCACACTCTGCTTCATTTGTAGTAGAAAAGTACTCTCATCTCCTGATGCTGCCCCAACTGCCCAATCCTGGAACAGTCTCTTTCCAGCCCTTAATATCAGCACTGTCTCTTTATATTCTGCTTTAGCATGCAACTATGTGACCCTGTGCACATCCTAATGTCTGCTTGGAGAAAGGTGAAAAGCTTTGCAAATCTATCTATCTATCTATCTATCTATCTATCTATCTATCTATCTATCTATCAATCATCTATCTATCTATCTATCTATCTATCTATCTATCTATCTATCTATCTATCTATCTATCTGTCTGTCTGTCTTTCTATCTATCCCAGAGGAAAAGAGTAGCCAAAACAGATTTTCTACCAGACCTCTGGGATTAATGAGGTTCCAAACTAGCTGCTTCTGAAATCCTTCACATGCTTTTTTGTTGGCATGACTGATTTGGGGAAACGGAAATGATACACAAGAAATTAGAGAGAGAGAAAAAGAGTTAAGACTTCTCTTGATGTTTGGATTTGTCCTTTAGGGAGGCGACTGAAGTAAAAATGAGAATAGAGACAAAACCTGCTGGACATTGTTAAGAAAAGGAATCAGTTGTGAGCCTTTTTCCTCTCTATATTCTGGTCAGAGCTGAGCACTAATTTAAAAATAGAGATAAAGATTATTTTGGTCATTTTATTCCTGTATGCATGCCGTGTCTGAAGCTAAAAGTAACGGGTAGCTTCTCTGTTCCCATGCTTGATGTCCTATCTTAGTGAATGGAGTGGGGAGCTGGCTTCTCTGCAGACTGACCTGTACCCAAGGATCCAGTCTTTGTTATATACCCTGTGAGATGAGGCTATGCTGATGATTACTGTGAATACATACTGATTGACATAGCAGACCGGGAACATAGCCAAGGAAATTGGAAATCAAGAGTCTGTGAACCCATCCAAACTTTTTGTGTCCAAAAACACAAAGAAGTTCTAGCTCTGTTCTAGCCTGAGATAGCCTACAGTGGCCAAATTGTCTTCTGTCTGGGCAAAGCAGAGAGGAGATTCACTGACAGTAATCACATCCAGGTGCCGTGCCCTTTGGGTTAGCAAAGATTTCCACTTTAGTTATCTCACTTGAGCTCCTGAAGTGGATATGATTAGCCTGATTTTCCATGTGAGGGCATTGAGATTCAGGGGTATCAGGTAGCACACTCAGGGCACAGAGCCAGCCAGGCATAGAGCCACAAACACATCTTGTCTTTGATCTCAGCACCTTCCACACAAGCCGTGATTCTTTTTCAAACATTTGAATTTATTTTATGCATATCTATCGCAGAGTCAGTTCTCTTTTTCCCCCTTTACATGGCAAGCATGCCGCTTGTTGAGCCATCTCTCCAGCCTCAAGTTTTCTTCTATAGGCTAATTCATATGGAAAAGAACACGTACATCCCAATTCACAGTTGTAGGGGAAGTCTTTTGAGATTCTAGACTTTCTAGGCATAAGACAAATACAAACTAAAATTTTTTAGAATTTTTATATTCATTTTTCTTTATTTATCCCACCTCTTCCTTTATCACAGTGACAGTCTGCGTCTGTCTAGTTCTGTCCTGCTGGCTGCTGTCAGCTCCCTATCTGAGTCCATGTGTTTCCTCTTTTCTACTTTCCCACTGGCCCCAGTTCTTATTTCCCCCCTTGGACGTTCACTAAGTGTTTTGTGTATATTAATGTTATGATCAAGATCATGAAAAGAAAGGAGAATAAAATGTTATTCTTCCAGTTAAAAACCAAACCAAAGCAATCTCTTTAGGGTGCCAAGTGGATTTTAAGAATGAAAAGGTTCAAGAGTGCACAGCAGTGGTATCCCAGAGGAGAGAGTTATGGAAGAAGGTAGAAGAGGGCATTCAGAATGGTCCTGTTAAATTGTAGCTCCATGTAGGCGAGGGCTACAGTGCTGAGTGTGTATGTTTGGCATGCATTGTGAGGAAGACCAGGGACAGCCTCGACTTGATAGTTTCCTCACTGTGACACGCACTGACTAGGGTTAATTGCTAGGTGTCTTCAACAGTGTTTCCAGGAGCAGGCACA